GTGGGGGAGCAAAAACAAGCAAAAAAAGCCTGTTTTTTGGGAAAACAGGCCTATTTTTTGTCAAACAAATTGCATGCATAGCTTATAGAATACTGCTGGGGGCTGGGGGGGGCAAAAATGGGCCGTTGTTTTGCTTATTTCTGCCCTTCCCAGCCCCCAGGAGCTCTCTGAAAGCTTCCATAAGGGTATGCACAGAGATTTTGATGAAGGTGCGGGGCTTCGGGAGGCAAAAAATGCTGTATTCGGTATATAAGAAGCACCCAGATTTTCAGCCTCTTTTGAGGAAAAAAGGTGCATCTTATACTCTGAAAAATATGGTATACTGCACATGTGATATGTGATGTAATAGGTTTAGGGAGGGTCTCAGGAAACACGTAGGAGGCGGTCAGAAAAGCTGAAGCCCATTTTGGTGAAGGGGGTGGGGCTTCAGGAGCAAAAAAATGCTGTATTCGATGTATATGATGCACCCAGATTTTCAGCCTCTTATACTCTGAAAAATACGGTAAATGGAAAATAAATATGCCCCAGTATAAGTAGCCCTCGACTTACGATCACAATTGAGCCCAAAACTTTGGCTGCTAAGAAAGGCAGGTGTTGAGTTTTCACCCCATTTTATGACTTTTTGCCAGAAGCAAATCACTGCAGTTATTAAAGTGAATCATGTGATCATTAAATCTGGCTTCCTCCATTGATTTTGCTGCTCAGAAGGTGGGGAGGAAGGTGAACACATGACTCCAGGACAGTGCAACTGTCATAATTACATACCAGTTGCTAAGTGATAGAACTTTAATCATGTGACCAAGGGGATGCTGCAATGGTCATAATTGTGAAAAGTGGTCATAAGTCACTTTTATTTAGTCCCGTCGTAATTTTGAAGAGTCACTAAGCAAATGGTTGTAAGTCAAGGACTACTGGTACAGGACATGTTTTAAAAGATTTAAACAAATATTCTTGTTTTGTTTTGTGCATCAATTGGTCAACCAATAATATTCTTCATTTTTTTCCTTCAGGGACACTAGCAGTATATTTTTAAGAAAACTAGTAATTTGATAGCAAGTGATAGAAAAGGAATCTCTCTGCCTCAGCAACTTAAAAGATGCTCGTAGTCATCCACCAATATTCAGCAAGATAAATGATTAGCCTGTTTTGATCCTGTTAATCAGAAGTTCTTTTTTAGAAAGATTCAGGAAGTAGTCATACAATTAACTTATTTTCACAAATTCTGCCACCACCCTCTGCTTTAATGGAATATAATTATTATTTATCTTTACCTAAAATAAATTGATTGGCTCATTTGAAGTCATTTACTCCTGTTCACAAACATTCAACGACAAGATTAGGATAGATAACGCTGTACTCTAACTTTAAAAATAAACAATTATATCTTTTCACAAAAATAATCAGCAGCTTGCTTTCAGAAGTTGTGGGTCCTCCATCACTAGGGTTTTTTAAGAAGAGACTGGACAACCACTTGCCTGAAATGGTATAGAGTAGGGGGTGTCAAACTCAAGGCCCACAGGCCGGATTCGGCTCACAGGATGCTCACTGGAAACAGCAAAGGACTGGTCCATGGTGCCTCTGCCAGCAAAAATAGAGTTCAGGAGGGGCCCTCCTGAGCTCCGTTTTCGCTGGCAGAGGGTTGCAGGAGGCCATTGCAGCTGGGAAAAAAAGATCGGGAGCCCGTTTTCACTGGCAGAGCGCTCGGGCTACCACAGGCACCCCGACACAAGTGATGTTGAGCTGGCCCTGCCCCCCCCACAACCCCACTCCAAGGTCAAACACAACCCTGATGCGGCCCTCAATGAAATCGTGTTTGACACCCCTGGTATAGAGTCTCCTGTTGAATAAGGGGGTTGAACTAGAAGACCTTGAAGGTCCCTTCCAACTCTGTTATTCTGTTAATAACAGCTTGTATCAGAACCTGTTTGTATCAGAACCAAAAAAAGCAGCCTTCACACTGGTATAAATTATAGATCTGGGCTGTTTGTTTAATTTTTATCTGTATTGCGAACCACTTTGAGCTGTAAGAAATAACAATGCTGCAGAAGTAAGTAAGTAAATAAATGTGTCCATATGAGTAAGATGGCACAATCTACCTTGGATCTGCTGCTGCTGCTGCATTCAGGCAGAAGATTCTTGCAGTTTTTGTGAACATTTACTGCGCAATCTGGTGAGGAAAGAAAAAGAAAATTGAGATCATTTTTCATCTATGCATCCTGACACTCATATGCGGGTTACCTTAGGATCAGCAGTGTCTTTAAAACGTGGCACGACAAAACCGCGCTCGACTAAGCCGCGCCCGATTAAACCGCGTCGCTGACG